GTAAAACTTTACGATGATACTTATTCATGGGAAAGAGGCTTGAATTAAGTTGAGGTGACTAATGCATTATTGAATCACGAGTTTTGGTGTCAGGACAAGGAGTCTACAAAGATGGATTCATCTAAGGCTCTTACACTCCAACAATGAGGATCTGAGAAGAAGAAAAAGGGTGGAAGTAAGTAGAGTAGGTAACATGGGTGCAATCTTGGGAAGAATCAGTGTGCTTTTGGCTTGGAGTCTGGTCATTAGAAAAAATATTACCCGAACTTGAAGGAGAAGGAAAAGGGAGTGTCCACTAAGGCTAACCTTAACATGGAAGAGCATGAAAAAGATTATGATGTATCACTATCTGTAGTTACTCAGAGTTTGTATTCAAATTATTCATGTTGGATTTGGATATTGGTGCTACCTATCACATTTGTCCCATTGAGGAGTAGATTAGTACCTACAGGGAGCTTGATAGTAGTGTTGTAATTGTAGAAAATGATTAAGCCTGTCGTACGGTTGGTATAGGGAGCATCTTCATTAGAATACATATTACTGCTATGAGAAAACTCATTAATGTGAGGCACATTCTAGATATCAGGAAAAATTTATTGTTTGTTGCGACTTTAGAGACCAAGGGCTACAAGTTAGTTATTTAGGCAGGAGTTTTGAAGATATATTATGGAGCACTTGTTTGTTTAAAATGAGTTTATCACTATAACATTTACTACCTTCAGGGAAGACAATGATTGGAATGATTGCTATTGTTGATGATTCTTTAAGACCACTTCATTATGGAATATGTGGCTAGCTGAGTTAGAACAGATTCTCTTGTAACTTTGGTGAAGCAATGATTAATTAAATGAGCAAGCCCATGTAAGATTGATCTTTGTGAATATTGTGTGTTTAGAAAGAAGACATGTATCCTTTGGTACTGTCATCCATAGTACAAAGGGTATCTTGGAGTATGTTTCACACATATGTTTGGGGCCCAATGAAGATAGAATCAACCACTGTATTATGATACTTTATCTTTTTTATTGATGATTACTACAAATATATTTGGGTGTACACCATGAGGCACAATAGTGAGGTAATGGAGATTTCAAAACTTGGAAGAAGTGGATTGAGACTCATACTAGAAAAAGTATCTGGTGTATCATATTAGACAATGCGTGCGAATAGACTTCAGATGTATTATTACAAGAGTGCTAAAGATCTAGGATAGATCATCACTTCACTATTAGAGAAACCACAGTAGAGCAAGGTAGCATAGAGGATAAACCAAACTTTAGTGGAGAAAGTTTGGTACATGTCATCTAATCCTAGATTGGATAGAGTTTATTGGACTGAGGACATAGATTATGCCTTTCACTTGGTGAACCGTCTGTCGTCTGTAGCTATTGGGAAGAAGACCCCAAATGAGATGCAGTTAGGGCATCATGCTAGAGATTATGAACATTTGAAAGTGTTTAAGAGACTAGCTTATTATCATGTTCAGAATGACAAACTGGAACCATATGCAAAGAAGATGATCTTTATTGGCTTTGACTTCAAGTATATGAGTTAAGGGCTTCAAACTTTATGATCTAGTAGAGAAGAAGATTATCATTAGCAAGGATGTTACTTTTAATGAGGTTAACATGTTGAAGCTTGGGGACTCCATGTCACGACCCTACCCGAGACGAGACGGATCCCGCCCGCGCTGGATCGCGACGGAGCTGCACTAACCAGGATCTAGCTTTGGAATTTGGTTCGGAACTGAATCTTTCAAATAATTAATTCACACAGACTAACAAACACAGAGCTACTATGTACACTCCAAGCAGGTGAAGAGTTTTACTGGGACCACATATAAATTGCTGAAGTTGAAGTTTGATGCAACTCCATTTACTCCACAAAGGTAGATCATTTCTACCTAGGTACCTAATTCAGCTACAGGTCGAAAGGTAGAAGATGAAGTTGAGGATGAAATTCCTACTTAAGAATTTATTTTGAAGAACAAGTTTAAGCACCAAAATATCCTAAAACCAACTTGGTTGAGGATTCATGTTATGGTTGAACTTTTAGCAACCGAGGTTCAAGTTCCTAGTTACTATAAGAAAGAAGTGGACAGTCCTTATGGTGATCTATGGAAGAGGGCTATGGATGAAGAGATGGAGTATCTTCAGAAGAATGCTATTTAGAGGTTGGTGAATCTTCCTCCATGAAGAAAAGCCATTGCATGCAAATGGATGCATGCAAAGAAGAAAGGATCTCATGGAGTTGACGTGCAGTACAAGGCTTGGTTGGTGGAAAAAGGCTCTATGCAATGGGAAGGGATTGCTTATGATGAGGCCCCAATGGTTAAGAATCCCTCGACCCATGGTCACTTAGCACTTGTACCACAGTTTGATCTGATTTTGGAGCAACTCGATCTAGACATTGCACAAGCAGTTGCCATTGTGAGTAGGTTCATACATTATACAAGGAGTCATTGATAATATGTAAAGAGTATCATGAAGTATCTGAAGGATACAATTAATATAGGCTTAGAGATGCAATCACCACGGTAGTGGTGCAAAACTCTTGATTGATTGTCCACTTATTTGAAGAATTATGCTCGGCTTGATCCCTAGATAACCATCTGGGTGCAGTCATTCTGATATTGGAGCCTAATTTGTTATATTCCAATTTCTAAAGTGAAAGATAAGGTGGAAATTGTTGATTTGGAATTATTTTCAAATTAAAATAAGCTTTTATTTGGAAATCTTTTAATGGATCACTATTGTAATTGATTAGTGAATATATTATTTCCTTAATTAAGTTGATTTGATTTGATATTTGATTGAGGCGTTAATTAGGGGATCTAATTATTACATTAACTAGGGATTTGATTAGAGATTTGATTGATACATTAATTAGGAGATCTAATTATTACATTAACTAGGGATTTGATTAGGATCATATTAGAAGCATATTCTTAATTTAGTTTGGCTCAACTCTATAAATAGAACCCTGAGGGCTACTGCTGAATGTAAGAGATGAGAATAGAGAAAGCTTGAGAGCTATTGTAATTCTCTATTGTTCTTCAATTTAGTGAAATTATCCTCCTCTCCCCGTGGATGTAGGCATTGTCATTAAACCATGCAAATTGTTGTGTTTTATGTTATTTTATTGTGTGATTTTGTTTTCGCTGTGATTATTTGCACAATCTTCACTCTATTGTTCTTTTTTTTTTAATAATAATAATAAAGCTCCCTCTTTCTTATGCTTGCTAAATATGCTAGAGATTATATATTCTTTTAAAATGTTATTCTTTTTAATCTAAAACCTCCATTTTTAAGGTAGAGATGAGGATGCTCAGGTGGATGAGTGGCTTTACCCTTAGAGATAGGATACGAAATGAGCATATATGTGAAAATGTTGGAGTAGCTCCAATAGAAGATAAGATTAGTGAGAGTTTCCTTAGATAGTTTGGTCACATTAAACGACAACCTTCCAATGACCCAGTTAAAAAAGTAGAGGTATTATATTTGACGTATGTTAAGAAAGGTAGAGGTAGACCTAAAAAGATTTGGTTAGAAAATATTAGAAATGATATTTCTTTATTAGATTTAAACAAGAATTTGATTTTTTATTAGGTCACAATGGAGACAAAATGATTCATGTAGCTGACCCCACGTAGTGGGATTCAGGCTTGATGTTGTTGTTGTTGTAGAACCTCCATTTTTAACATTACAGGACTTAAAGACAATAAGAAAAAAAAAAAAAAAAAAATCAAAGGAGCATGAAAAAAAAAGAAATCAAAGGAGCATGCATTCAAAATAGTGGTTAGATAAATTAATTGACTAATATTAGTTATTTCTTTTAATGCTATTATTTATAAGCCTAGTATTTACTAATGTTGATAAAACGACAATTTCAGACATCAACATTAAATTGTTTAACTAATATCTAACATTAAAATAAGCATTTATGAGAATTTATGATTAATTAAATGAAGAATATTTTTTATATTCTCGAATTCTGTAGTGCTCAGCTATAACTCCATTCTATATATAACAGAGGTGAGCTCAATTTATATAATTTTATGTATTTTTTATAATTAAGCTAACTTTATAGAAATAAGGAAGGTGCTTACTCTAGAATTTTTCTTTCTCTCTTTGTGTTTTGTTCTCTTTTACATTAATATTCTCAATATAGTTTGGTGCAACTCACAAATAATTTTAAAATAAAAAATACTAAATTAATTACTAATATTAACTCATCTAAGGATGTTAAATACATCCTTTCATAGATATATTTTGATGTAATTTAGATTATATGATTTTATATAAATTTACCTATTAAGTTTTGAAGGCTTATTGAATGAAAGTAGTAATAAATGACAGACTTGTTCTATACAACAATATTAAGCCTTTATTCTCTACTACATGAAATTGAATATTTAACTATTTATATATAGCAACATTTGAAATAGAATATTTTTATTCTTCCTCCATTTCCTTCAAATCAATCATTCACTTAGCGCATCTCCAACCGAAACTCTCATTTTTCACTGCAAAATGCAGTAAAATCAAAAAGTGTCGTGATTCATCTCTAGTGGAACGCCTTTTTGCCCCAAAATCATCGTCGTTTCTTTCGCGCCTTTCTCAGACGGAGTTCGGTAGAGAGAAAGAAATGACGAAAGTGAACAGTGCGACGCCAATATTGACGTCGCACTGTTCATAAGCGACTGAATGCCGGCAAAAATGAAGTTCGGTTAGCACGTCTGAGGCTCTTGATTGGCCTGTTTGCCGAATGGCTAGAGAGGCCTTACAATTTTCCATATAAAACTACAAACCTCACAAAATTTTCTCATTAAATTGGCCCTTTCCCAAATTTTGATTGAAATATTATTAAATAATTTCAACCCCACATGATTTGATGATTTGAAGAAAAGTAAAAATTAGGTAAAAAATTTCGGCCCACCACATGATGCAGTATTTCGGAAATATCCTATTTCATTGCTCCGCTCAACGTCCACATCACTCTTATCTCTCCGCCGTTCTAGCTAATCAGTAATCGGGACCGAGCTTCCTTACCCGTTGCGCGAGGAACAGTAGGGTTAGGGTTGCGATTTTGGGTGGAGGCGAGGATTTGGCTGCGATCGGAGACGCGGGTAATGAGCAAGGGATTTGAGGAAGGTTTTGGAGTGAGGTGGATCTTGTGAAAGGGGAGCCCGATCATGGACCCGAGTTTCTCACGCGCGAGCGCTGATCAGAACTTCGAATTTGCCTTCAACTCGAGCAACTTCTCCGACCGTGTGCTGCGGATTGAGATCATCCCTGGGCCTGCGGAAGGCAAAGCTGAAGGTGATGATTGCGCTAGCATCTCGGATTGGGCCCGGCAACGCAAGCGCAGGAGGGAGGACATGAAGAAGTACAAAGGTCAGCAACCGTTTTAGAGCATCAATTTTCCGATTTGCATATTAATTCGGCTATATTTTGCTTCATTTGCCGTAATGATGATTGTTTGTTTTCTCTTTCCCCCTTGGCGCTGTCATCGATCCCTTGGGACTGTCCATGACTGACAATCCTAACAATGTCAAAAGCCTTCCTCTTAAGATAGGAGACACCCTCATTCCATCTCAACTCAACTTTGTGATGTCAGTCATCAAAAGCAACATCCACATTCAACTCACACTAGAGTAGGATTCCACATGGAGATTAGAAGTCCTAATTTTTTTTTTTTTTGAGAGCTAATGGCTTTGAGGGGTTTTTTGATGGCTCAATTCCATGCCCATGCCCAACTAAGCACTCTGTTCATGATGACTATTTAATCACTCTTAACCCACAATATTACACATGGTTGCTTATAGATCAAAACCTAGCTGCTACTCTCTACTCAATTATTTCCTCTCCTATTCTACCCTATGTTGTCACCTTCAACTCCTACACCAAAATATGGACAGCAATAGAATGTCGTTTGCAATCCACAAATTTCTAATGCATCGCTCAGTTAGATAAATGAACTCCATTGCCTCTCGCTCTCCATGAAAGATCAAGCCTTGACTCAATATTATATGACATTAAAGCCAACTTTGATACTATAATAGTAATCGGGTCTCCTCTTATGCCAAAAGACATCATTTTATACGCCCTTGAATGATCTTCCACCAACCTATCAAGCATTCAAGATTGCCGTAGGAACCAATCCCAAAAGAATCAGTTTTGATAATCTGTATTCTAATATTTACAGTGAAGAAACTAATTTATCTAATGCCTTAGTCTTAGCTCAATCCATTCCAGTTCTCTAGCATCGTCTGTTCGGCCACTCCAACTCTTCTATTTTATCCATCATATAAAGTAACAATGTAGAAATATGTACTTCCTAAACTACATTGTTTTGTACTTCATTTCATTTAGCTAAATATCATATTTCTATTTCCATCCTCTATGTCAAGGAGCCATCATTGACCTTTAGAAATTATTCACTATGATGTATGGGGTCATTCCCCAACCATTTGCATTAATGACGATAAATATTATGTTTCCTTCAGTGATAACTATTCTTATTTTTGCTGGGTTTTTCTCATGAAAAATATATTTAAAATCACCTCTAATTTTTTTATGTCCAACACATGGTTGAAAGACAATTTAACCTCGAAATTACATGGCGTATTGGTGGTGATGGTGAATACACTAATTCCACCCTTCAAGTAATACTCTCTCAATGTGTATCTTAAGTTAATGCAGCTGCCCCTTCATATTTGAACAAAACGGGCTTGTCAAATGTAAATGTCGACAGCTCTTTGAAACCATTCTCGTGCTATTACTCGAAACCAAACTACCACACTATGTGACTAGACACTCTTTGAAAACATGCTAGTTACAGTCTCTACCATTCCATTTCTCTACCAAGCCTTATTCAACCTAACCATAAGATTTTCCCTCATGCCTTGTAGTTAAAAAACCTCTCTTAATGTAACTCTTACCCACAGACTTCCACCCATCCAACACCTCAACATCAACCCATTCCCTTGCCACTTTGACATCTAATAAAAATATTTCTCCGAACTGGATACCTCAAATTGAAACATATATTCACCCTAACCCACGCTATATAACCCAACAACCCCAATTGCTATACTTCTGCTTCCAACGATGCAAAATGGCCATGCTACAACCATGTAGCAAGAGTTACAAGTCTTATAGATTGAAGGCCTGAATATAGTCCCACCTTCACTTTATCAAAATGTCTTGGGCAATAAGTGGACATTCAAAATCAAATACAATTCCAACGGCACCATCACTAGATACAAAGCCCACCTACTCACACAATGCTACGAACAAGAGCAAGAAAATAACCCATGCAACTCTTTAGTTAATATAATTGTGAGTCTATGTATATTATGTTCATGTGAGATGTAACTATTCAGTTCACATTACAATTTATTTATGGCTTCTTTGCAACTATGTAACAAGAAAATTCCATAAAGTAAGGTCCATATTATAATTAATTTGTCATACACCTTATTTTTTGATTTTATTTTACATCCTTTCCTTTCATGGCATATCTTTTTGTTAAGAACAACTGTTTGATCTTTAGACTACTGTATATGGAAGAGCTTGTACCAAAAAACTTTGGGTTAAGAAGCACAGGTAGCAAAACCATCATGGAAATTCATCTGAATTCTGATAATCATATGAATCCATTATTTCAATTTTGCTAAAGTTCTCTAAATTGAAATAAGTTTGATGTTTCAAAAATATTTTTTCATTAAAACTCAGAGCACGGTTTCTTAGACCATGTAAGAATAGCATTTGTAAATCTAGAAGATGATCATTGTAAAAATCTATTTGTATTTGCCTTTCCTTTCAAGTATGTTTCAACTTTTATGTCCAAGGCATCCTTTAGTTTATTGGGTTGGAGCGGTTTATTTCAATCTAAATAAGAAATGTCCAATCATCTTTAGGTAAAAGTCTAATCTTGTGATCTTTTAAAATTGATTGTAAAAAATAATTAGGTCTACTAACTAAATCCAATATATCATCATAATGGGGTATGGGAAATTTTTAGCAAATAGTGATCTTGTTAATAGCTCTGGTACTAACACATACGGCATTATTATACTATTGCTCTTAAAGTTTATAAGTATAAATTTTGGTTCTAGTATATGAAGAGCATTTATGTCATTAAGTTAATGCTAACAATACCCATGAATACTCTGCCACACCATTTCATATCAGAATTTCCATTCAATTAAATAGGTACAATACATCTTTTAATGACAGAGATTTCTTTTTAACCCATGCAACATTGAGGGCTTGGATATGGCTTAGCTTTGAGATCGTATCTAGTTACAGTGCTTTAGATACCACTTTTATAGTGTTATCACCATCTATGACTAACTTGCATTTCATGCTATTGCAAGAAGCACAAGCGTAGAAGAGAGTTCTCTTCCAATGATCAATAGTCTAGAAGCTAGTGACTATGCATCTTATACTAGATAAATAACTCCAAGATTCATCACAACCTCACGGCCCATCCCAAGAACATTAAAGATCATCTTTCACACCCTATTAAGTGGATCGCCTATATTTTCTTCATGCCTAACAAACTCTTGCTAGAGCATGATGAGGGCATTGAGGTGCAAGGTGACTAGCTTGATTACATTGAAAACATCGTTATCCATTATAATTTCTAGTAGTTTGTATGCCCTTAGGAGCAATATTGATAGTTTTAGGGGAAAGTTGTATTTTATAATCAATTGCTTAGACCATGTAGCAGTAGCATTTATAAATATAGAAGATGATCATTGTAAAGATACATTTATATTTGCCTATTGCCTTTCTTTTCAAGTATGTTTCGACTTTTATGTCAAAGGCATTCTTTAGTTTATCATGTTGGAGGAATTTACTTCAATATAAATATTAACCCTCCAATCATTTATAAATTTAGTTTTCATCACCCAATCGGTTTATCTAACTTCCAATCTTAAAGCTCAACAATATTTTTTAGATATTCAATTACACTAGTGGAACTTTTTTGTAAATTATAAAGCTTGGCAAGCAATTGTTGTATATGATATGTGAGGAAGTATTTTTGTTTCATTCTATGCTCATTCCATCTGAATTATGAATTATTGTTTGTACATAAGATGTTTCTATATTATTAACTTGTTTTTAAAAAATTTTAGCCGATCCAGTTAATTTATCATAAGCAAAATGGATTTTCTTATGTTCATGTGTGTTCATCAAATAGTCCTTCATGTTTTCTATCCTATTAGAATATGCGTTTGGATCTTGCTTACCATTAAATTAATAATGATCGATTTTGAGGCTTCTATAGGAATATTATCATATCATCAACCATGGTCAAGTTGTCCAATATTATTCTAGGTGGCCAACAAGAAGGATAACAAATGTACTTGTGAAAAATATCAATTTAATATTTTGTGGGTCTATTTTTGGGGGTCTGAAGAGGATCTACTCTTGGTGTAAGAAGAGGAGATTTATTTGATTAGAAGATCACTTGATATTCTTATATTGGTTATCAACATAGATAAATCTCGGAGCAAATGTCTTATTTATGTAGAGATCTGTTGACTTGTGATTGTAGTAGGAATTTGCTCTCTCAAAGAGTTTCCTTCTCCTCTTCTCTTTGAAAGTGACTGACGCTTCATCAAGTCATATATTATCATTACAAGGCAATGATTTGTCTCTAGTAATTCAGAGCTCTTCCAGAGTACTTATTGCATTTGTTGAAAGGGCAATAATTTTATATTTCATTTATATAGCAAATTGCCTTTCAATTGTTTTATAGTCTGCTATGCATTAAGCTTCGAGCTCCTATGTTAATTGTTAATAATTAAGTGAGATGATGTAGAAGAAATAAAACTATATGATCAATTCGATCTCCCAAAGAGGTTCCTTCTCCTTTTCTATTGAAAGTGATTGATGCTTACTCGCATCAAATCATATATTATCATCACAAGGCAATGATTTTAATTTTTCAATGCTCTCACGAGTACTTGTTTGCATCTATGTTGAAAGTTAAATAATTTTATATTCCATACGTATAACAATTGGTCTTTCAATTGTTTTGTATTATGCTATGCATTAAGCTTCGAATTTCTATTTTAATTTTTAATAATAAATGAGATGATGTAGAAGAACCAAAACTATATGATCAATTTAATGAATGCAAACTATGATAGTTGTGGGGTAAAACACTAGAATGCAATGTTATGATGCTGGGATGCAAATATAGATTTCAAATTGTTTACAAAATTAGAAATTTAGGCATTAAATTCAGTTCATAAATAAATTTTGTAGTTTTTTATGAACTTTGATTTCAGAACATGCTTGATATTTTCCAAAAAAATATTTATGGCAATTGTTGGTTTTGTTTTTTGATGTAGTTTTTTATGAACTTTGATTTCATA